CCGGCTCTCGCAGGGTTCCTCGGCCGCGCAGGCGGAAAGCTTTGCCCTTGCAGCAAATCTCAGTGTCCCCCGATAAAGGCAGGGAAGAGTTAGTGGCGATTCTCTTCAGGAAAATGGGGTGGGGGGTTATGCTGGCAGACTGCTGCGCCTCCACCCCCCTCATCTTCCAGCCTCCCCTTTCCCGCGCCGGAGGCTTCTGTCTCCTCAAAGGATCGTCCAGTTCCTGCTGCTTTCCTCCCGTGACATGTTTGTAGTTCTCGTGTAGCTGCACTTGAGGCCTTTCTGGCACCAGGAAGATCAGAGTGATCACCCTGTATATGTGCAGTAATTGCCACCTACATCTTTGTCTTGTCTTTTTTTTTTTTTTTTTTTTTTTTTTCAAATTCCTTCCCCCTCATTTTTTTTTTTTTTTTTTTTTTTGCAATGCCATCTCCCTAATTTCTGTTTCATGACAGCCTAGAGTTCCTTTATCCATATGTTGATCTATTCTTCATGTGTATTCGTGGCTGTGGTTTTGCTTTTCTCCATTTTTATAAAATTTTGTCTTACCTGGTTTTGCCAATATACCATAATCACCTTGAATATAAATTCCTCCCCCTCACTCCCTCTGTACATCTCCTGAATTTGTATCATCAACAGATTGCATATGTGTCAAAACCCTGCTTAAGTCATCTTCATCAACTGGTTTGCTTTCTCTTCTTCATTACACTATCAAAAAAAAGAAAGGTATAATGTAATTTGTTCCCTGTAAATCACCACTGACTGTTTTTTTAATCATCTGGATGATGTCATGTGGGTGCTTGTAGATGTCTTGCGTTGTGCTTTGCTGTGGTTTCTTTCCTGGTATTGGAGCTGGGGTGGGGGCAGCACTCTGATTCCCTGGATCTTCCTTCTTGCCTTTTAAACACTGATTTTAAATTGTCATTGTCCAGTCTTCTGGAACGTCATTCACCATCCAGGAACTAACAAAGATAACTGCAAATGATTTGGGTTGCCCAGAGAGGTTGTGGGACCTCCATCCTTGGAGGTTTTCAAGATGCATTTGGATAGAGCCCTGAGCAACATGGTGGGTCCCCATAGCTGCCAATGCCTTGAGCGGGAGGTTGGATGAGAGAGCTCTTGAGGTCACTTCCCACCTCAGTTACTGTATTTAGTTTTTCTGAGCTCTCCTTCCTTCTTAGGCCTCAGTAGCAATGGGGAAAAGAAGATTTATGTAACTTCATGTCTTAAAATTAGCTGTAGATCTCAGTAACGTGCTGAAGGAGGATGGATATGTTCTTTCCGAACTGTTGGGACAGTCATGTGTGGTCTCATAGGCATGCAGCAGCCATGGAGGCATTTGATGGTTAGGACAAGCAACATGGGGGGAGAGGGATTTTGCTGCTAGGTCTGGTTTTACAAGGGATTCATGGGTGAATCCCAGCTTTTTGAATGCAGGATTCTACACTATCCTGCTGGAATAAATTTAACTTGCATTTAACTGCAAGTTTCCCTGGGATAGTTAAGATAGATTTGAACACTGAAGACAGTAGCTGATAGCTCAGTCTTACTCCAAATGCTGAAGGAGCTGCAGGCTTAAATCCTTTTACTTGCCAGCAGTGATCTGTTGCTCCCTGCGTGTAAGTTTTTTTACCAGGCTGTTTGGTGCAGTGACTTACTGCTTACTCTGATTATTGTGCCCAACTTTCTTATCACAGATCTAAACCAACTAACAGTTACGTATTTAACTAATGCTCAAGTCAAGTTTACTCCTGTAAGTCCCTTATCAAACATCCATCATACTCTTAGATCCTTTCAGCAAGTTTAGAAAATGGAACATATCTTTTCTTTTCTGTTGGATATAGGAGTGATGTGGGAACCACCCGTTCTGTGTGAAAGACAAGAAAGAAAACATTTGATGAAGGGAAGAAACCAAACATCTAATAAATGGAAGCCATGAAGATATCAAAGCGGTTCTTCGCTTTTGGGATTTTGGCATGCATAGCTATTTATGTTGCATACATAAAATGGCACTTGGATTCCAAACCAGTTGTGGTATCAACAGAAGGAGTTGCTGAAAGCAGAGGAGAAAAACTGAACCATCAGGCACTGACCACAGATCTCTCGGTTTTTTATGGAATTATGTTTGACGCAGGCAGCACAGGAACTCGTGTCCATATTTTTAAATTTACACAACAGCCAAAAGGTATGGCCTTCTCATTGCATGATAGACTAATTCTTCCATAACATATGGAGCAGATTATTGATGATTCTTTTCTAGGGATTACTTGAACAAACTTCAGCTCTTTCTAGGGAGCCGTCAGGAAGTATATTATGATTCAAGCATGTGGGTTTGGATGAAATTACAAAAACATGGAACAAGGAGAAAATGCTGTAAGGTCAGAATGTGAACTAAATAGCAGCTATACCTTTAGAATGGTGCCTTGAAGAGGAGCAGTTTTTCATCACACTGCTTGGTAGAAGAGAGGATTGTAAGTTCAAAGTGCCTTATTCCCCCAAATTTTCACCATGAGGTTGTTGGCTGTTTCCAGTTCCTGGCAGCAAGCTGCTTCTCTCTGCATTGTCTGGTTTAGTGCATCCTTGGCTTCAGCGTTGGATTTAAATTGGAGAACTTCACTGTTTGATTAAAATTGCTGTGTCTTGCATCTGGACAGAAAGTATTGCTGAGAAGCAAGACAGAAGTGTACCAAAAAGCTCCAGTTTTCCTCTGGAGTTGTAAGCTTCATTTGTTTAAGTGTTGTCGGCTTCTGTTTGTGAAACTCTTAAAGATGCAAGAACCGTTGTGGATGTTGTTAGTAGGTGATCTGAGGATGCTTTTGAGGATTAGCAGTGTCGTGCATGGTGTGATTGGCCTGTGGGAAGCACCTTAGGTTTGCAGAATGGGCTAGCGTAAGGCTCAACCACCAAAGGTGTTGAACAACAGTCCATGTGCATGAAAATTATGTGCATAGTGGACACCAGCACCTGAAAAACAATCATGACTTTTAAAAATGGTTTTCTCGGGAGCTAATTCCATAGCAAGGGCTGTATTTAAAGTTTGGGTGGCTGTTGATGGTTCATTAGACAGAAGCTTCAGTTGACTTCCATTAACACATAATGATGTAATTTGTAAAATTATTTTCTTTTTGTGTATGCAAAATTATTTACACCATTACTTATTTTGGAATACTGCTTTTGAACAGAGACTCCCAAATTAACCCATGAGACGTTTAAAGCACTGAAGCCAGGTCTATCCGCATATGCAGATGATGTCGAAAAGGTAATTTTTGTTTCTGTTACTGTAAAAGTACGTGCACCAAAACCTCCTGTTCTTGATACACCCTGCAAATCACATCTTGCTGTGGTACAGTATGCTGAACTGTCTCAGGAACAGTGTCAGGGAAGTGTCTCCAAATGATACAAGCTCACAGTAAAAGTTGGTTAACACGCAGAGGTGCAAGGAACAGAATGCATCTAGTTCTGCTCAGTGATGTTGTTAATTAAGCACAGTGGATGTTTTTCCTGTCTCTGCCTTAAGAATTTTGATGCACTTAAGAACATGACAAAAGAGCTGTGTTGAATTGGAGCAGAGTCTTCTCCAAAAGTGACTGGAATTGGATTCTCAGGGAAATAGTCTGAAAAACAGGCCAAGTACTAAGTGACTTCTCTCCCATCTCCCTTACCTTCTGGCTTGCAGGGATTTAGGGATTTCCTGAGCCAGACTTACACCCAGCTCATAGTGTTTTACTGGCTCCAAAGGCCTTTTTTTTTTCCCAAGGATTTGTCATCATACTGCCTTTTGTAGCCAAAACATTCAGTGGCAGAGAGTTCTATGTCACTATTTGAAAAAGTGATTCTTCCTGTTTGTTTTTGACCTGTTGCTGGATAATCCCCATTAATTCCATCAGGTCTCACGCTAACCACTTGTCGTATTCACTTGTCTCTGTTCCACATTTACAGTGAATCATACCTCTGATCACCCTCTTGCCCTTCCAAGAAAGGCAAATCTAACAAGTTTGTAAGATGCTGGTTTTTGTTCTTTCTCTGCTCACAGAGTGGCCAGGGAATAAAAGAGCTTCTGGAGGTGGCAAAGAAGGAAGTTCCTATGGAGCTGTGGAAGTTTACTCCTCTGGTCCTGAAAGCCACAGCTGGCCTACGGTTGCTGCCAGGAGAGAAAGCTCAGAAGTTACTGGATAAGGTACTATTTCTTGTCTTTCAGTTTGCTTTCCAGAAATTTTATAGCAAAATTTGGACCCTTCTGTGTGGTCCTTTATCTTCATGTACGTGAGCCATGCCTGTCATCTAACCCTGAAAGCAGTGCAGAGCCGCCTGATCTCACATGGGGGGAGAAATTGTGTGAGTACAAGCACAGAGGAACGATGACAGCTTCAAATAAGCCTGGAGATGATGTATAACATACCAGAACAAGTGTAATGAGATACACCTAACAGTCACCACAGGATTGTTCTTACTGGGCCTGTTTGTTGGTGGTTTTGATCATGCTATTTTGAGAAAAACACTCTGCTATTTGATTGGTCATGTTATCACCCTGCTGCTGCAAGGTTGCTCCTTTCTATTGATTGAAAATAATGTAAATGGTATTTATAGGCATGTAAAATATGTTTAATATTTTAAAATATTATAAAAATAAACAAAATATTATGTTCTAGACTTTACAGCTGCAGGAAAAATTTATTAAGCGTGCACTAAGTGTACTCTTTTTCTGAGCCATAATTGGAAGGAAGATACGTGGTGTGGTTGAAACCGATGTTGGTATTGTTCTCTGCTGCCTGCAAGCGGGCCCATTCTTTTCCACACTGAATTTCAGCTGAAACTGCTGCAGTTGTTACTTTAGAGGGCTCTGGAAACCTAGGGCTTTGCTGCCTCAGGTAGGGTGTAGTGTAGAGGACATCTGACGGCCAACACGCTCCTGTTAAAAATGCCATTCCCTGGGGCATTCCTTTAGCCAGGGTGTCCGTCTCCTGCCTCTCCCGTGCATATATAATACTGTGAGTCGCCAGTTGCAGCAGAGTAAACTGGGTTCCCTTCCCTACCCATGTCCATCCCTTGTTAATGGCATTTCCGAGCAATCTTCATGCTTGAAAACCCACACGTCCATCCGTGTCTCTGCACCAAACTGCAGAGCCAGTGTGTGAATTGCTGTCCTTTTATAGCAGAGTGCAGGCTGATGCTTGAACTTCAAACAAAGTGGTGAGCAGCAGTCAGGATCTGGCCCAAGAAAAGGAGAAGTTGTGTAAAACTGGAATTTTAAAAAAACCCTTGCTTTCCAGCTGTAAAAAGATTTCTCTGAGTGTAGCTTTTATTCAAACTACAGGTGAAGGAGATTTTTCAAGCCTCCCCCTTCTTTGTGAGGGACAACTGCGTGTCAATAATGAATGGAAGCGACGAAGGTAGGCTGACTTGTGGTGACCCTTTCTGCAAT